ACATTTCTCAGTGTAGTGGCAGCTAATGACTTTGTAGATTTTGCCGCATCTTCAACATTCGTTATTGATATAACAGCATTAAATATTCGAAAGTAGACAACAGCATCGACAGCAACAGTCACAGAATCTTTTGTCAAAATCTAAAAGCGGAATATGTTTTTTAATCATTGTGAATTTTTTTTAAGATAATACTGACTTCCTGAGGAGGAACATCAAAAGTGACGGTCCTAAGATCAACTTTACTGTAGGTATCGATGCATGGTAAAATGAAGAATAATCCGGGTCCTCAAAAACAAATGTATAATATTAAAAGATTTTTATTCTACAAGAAATAATTGCGCATATTATTACCTCTTGCTCCATCCACTAAAATTCGACCAAGCCTAAAAATAACTGCTCGTTCATATTCTTGGACAACCTTGAACAGTAAAGAAAAGAAAAACTATATTCGTTGTTGTATGTTCCAGTTGAATGGAAAATAATATTGCTTACTTTCATACAAAAACATAATGATAGTGGAAATGTAATAACAACGAGTACATAGGATAAAATAACAAGTCCATGGAAACAATATCCACTTTGTTCTCGACGATCTTTGAGATCTAATTAATAATAAGACATTTTTTTTAATAGTAATTATTCTTGTGCATGGATACTATTATTTATTAGACTTCTTTTTATCATTTCTCGTATAATAGATGTATTTGTTAGCAGACGATGAATTATCTATATGAAAAGGGAAAAAATCTTTCCATAGTAAAAATGAAACATTTTCTGACCTCGATTTTTTGTGAACTATTCGACTTAGATTAGCTACGACAAACTGAGTTTTAAATTGTAGGAATAAATACTTCTGATGTACGTCTATAGTCTCTTCAAATGTTTTGCAGAGTTTGTCAAGTAAAAGTGCCCTCTTTATGAATGAAACTCTTACAGGTGGCGTAGAAAGTACGAAATACTTTGTTTCTTTTTTCTGGCACTGGAATACAGTCTGAAGATTCTATTCTGGGCTCAGCAAAATGGAACATTTTTCATTCTACAAAACCTTCTATATTCTATTTTTATACGTTGTGGGAATTTGAGAAAAACTCAGAATGTGGGCAGATAAAAAAAGCATCACTGCAACATTCAGTGGAAATTTTATTGACTTTTCAGCTTTTGTGTAAAGCTATTTTGGAATAAACTGAGCGAAGAAGATGAGTATAAAAGTATTTAGCAAATTTGGTTGTAG